AAAAAAAAAAAAAAAAAAAAAAAAGAACTGGACCTAACCTCAAAAGAAGAGAAGGAATAAAAGAATGTTCAAACTCGCCCATAAAGGAATGCAAATTTAAGCAAAAACACCCTGTTGACTTTCATCCATGGGATTAACAAAAGTCAAGTCTGATGATACAGTGACTCCCTGGGAATGAACACTCTCCTGCACCCCCAGGAGAAATATGAACTCCTACCACTTCCAGCTGTCAAAGGATTAGACCAGCAAATGCTTCCCTGCAGGTGTTCCACTGCTGAGCGCACACCCCTCTCAGGCCCACCTCACACGGTCTACAAGATAGACCCAAAGGTTTTCACAGAGCATTATTCACAGTAATCATAAAGGATTGGGAACAACGCTATGCCATCAGTAAGGAAGTAACTTCTGGAATGATATTGCATTCATCTGAGAAAAACCTAAAGCACATTTGGGGTTTTTTTTTTTTTTAAACTATATGGCATAGAGCTTAGTGGGCACTGATAGGGACCGTTCCTCGAGGAATCCATTAAGCAAACAAGTCAAGTAAACTGAACACCTGCTAGCACCTCACTCCTCTCTGCCCAGCCCTTAGAACCACAGCTTTTCAATCTGGTCTGTTTCTTCAGGGTCTTTTTCTCTCCTGCCACCAGCATGGGCAGGCGCCAGGGGATCGTGTATATTGCTATATTCCCAGGACATAGAAGGTGCTCAAATATTGGTCACAAGGTCAGAATGCCCCGTGGCAGAGACGTCATTTCTGCAGGTGGACAGGAATTTTCCAGTGAATGGCGTCTCCACCATCCAGATAGAAGTTATTTTGTCACCATTGACGTCCGGCACCAACACGGCATTTGTAGAACACATATGACCTCGTGAGGACATTGCCCATCCCAGAACAGGCTGCACCTCTTTGGACTATTTCAAAAACAAAACTCAGAGTCTAAAATGATCAGCAAGAAAACTGCAGAAACGTGAACACATCTTACCTGTTCCTTCTGGTTTGATCCACAGAATAAATCTGCTTTCTCAGCCAACTGGAAAGAGATTTTAGATAAAAAGAGAGAGAAACTTAGGAAATAAGAACACATTGGCGTCCTGTGGGAGGGACGGAAAACAAACAGGAACAAAAAGGATCCGAACTTTCTAAGAAGCCCAGCTCAGGAAGCAGTTTTCTCCTCGTGGTTGAAGAATCCCATCTGAGCCAAGATTTCGACACAAAAAGGCTGGATTTCTTTAAATTAACAATTCCCTCTGATGATAGTCATCAATCCCCAAAAAGTTGGTAAGAAAAATGGCGCAAAGTACAAAAGCTTTGATTGACGGAGAGGAAAATAACTCACCCCCCAGTCCCACCCAGACCCCATAATGCTGAGGACAGTCCTGAGAAGGCCTTCGTCAGCCCATGTGGAGTGTCAGGTAGAAAATTCCAGACCTTGTGTCCCACTGTCCATTGATCACTCTGCTGAAATCCTTTGAGAAGGAGGCCCTCCTGTTTTCCCTTGACATGCAACACCAATGGATGTTTCTATCTCAATTGCAATGGTCTGCTCACCCCAGGGGGCCAAGTCTGAAAGCCAGCACCCACAGAGGCTCTCAACTGAAACACTGGAAGGTCCACCCCACCACTGGACATCACCACACTTAAGATGCCCAATGAGCCTCAGAGATCAACATCTCATCTTTCTTTCCTTTAGCCCATGTTGGCCGAAGGCAGCAGAATCAAGGATAGAGTAAGCTCAGGAAACGGGAAAGCCAAGTACCTCTCGATCATGGTCGGTGTGGATGCGTTCATTGCTTCTTGGTGTAAGATTTTCAAGCCAGACAGCCACTTAACGGCATCCTCTTTAGAGTCAGCTGGAGTGGGCAAGGGGAACAGAAATGCTGGGTTAATTCCTGGCAAGGCCTCTGCTTGGAGACCCCAGCCCCATACAGACTGTGAAGATGGGAGAAGCCCGTGCTGGTTTCTGGTTTTGCAGAAGGCCAGGAAAGCATCTCCTGTACACCTTCATGGTTCCAAGACGGGCATTGTGTCTGAGAGGAGGCCACATTCATGACAAGCTTTGTACCACAGGGGTGACAAGTGGGCTATTTTCTGTGCCAAATCGAATTGGCTAAGAGTGGAGGCAGTGGCAGTAACCATCACTGCCATTCCTGAACAGCAGATAACATCCTCAGAGCACTTGCTATCTATATCCCAGACACTGTGCTCAGAGCTGTAGCTATATTTGTGTATATATGCTAGACACTATTCCAAGTGCTTTTCCTATGTTTTTCTAAGCCTAAGCAGCAAGCCCACAAGGGAAGTACTATCATACTCCCATTTAATACATGGAGAATCCAAGTATAAGACAGGTTCAGTGATGGGGCCAAGGCCACATGGCTCATGGTGGCCTCTGTGAACTAAATGTGTCCCCTCAGAATTCAAATACCGAGGCCCTAAATTGGAGTTGGGCTCTTTGAGAGGTGAATTAGGCTTAGATGAGGTAATGAGGGTGGAGTCTTCATAAGGGGATTAGTGCCCTTCCAGGGAAGAGGAAGAGAGACCAGAGCTCCCTCTCTAAGTGCATACGGAGAAAAGGCCCCAAAAGCCCACAGACAGAAGGCTGCCATCTGCAAGTCGGAAAAGGAGCCCTCACCAGAACTCAACCCTACCTGCATCTCCATCTCGGACTTCTCAGCCCCGAGAACTGTGAGAAAATAAAGGTCTCCCTTGTTTAAGCCTCCCTGTCTGTGGTATTTTGTTACAGTAGCCAGAGCAGACTGAGACGGTGGAAGCCAAGAGTCCATTCTCTCACCCCGATGGCACTGACTCCAGGAATGAAAAAGCTGAAGAATTCAAACCCAGGCTAGGACTCCAGAGCAGGAGTTCCCAACCCCAGCTCCTCAGGAGAAGCATTTGGGGGGGTTTCAAAACCCCAACATGTAGGTACCACCCCAAAGTAATTAAACCAGAAGGGAGGGGTAGAGAGACATCAACAGGGAATAACTTCAGCGAGGCACCACTGCATGTGCCAGGGTGAGCTATCAACCTCCACTGCTGCTTTAAGAAATGGACACAGACTCAGGGGCTTAAAGTAACACAGATTCACTCTCATGC